CGCTGCTAAAGGGATTAAAAGGAGAACAATTTTAATTATTTTCAAATGGATATAAAGTGTTATTTACTTACCCCAGTCGATTTAGAGACATGTCAGCTGATTAAAAAAAAACTATGATGAAAATTAAAAGAAATGTCGGCTAATTCGGAAACCTCGGCTTCGGCTAGCTTAATTGATAGCTGTCACAAATACTTTGGGCTATAGCTACCGTTTTTATATTAGAACTTTTTGGGAAACTATTGAAATGAAGCCTGTATTAACAATGATTGCAGGTTTTAGAATGGCTGGTAACAAATAAATCCCAACTATATAAAATATTTATGACCCATTTTATTTTAGGTTCTTAGCACCATTGTAGGTCTGCTTTATCATTTATAAAAGATACATTTGGACCAGCAGCAATCAAAAGTGATAATTACATAATGTCAGGAAAAAAAAAGAAATGAGTTTTAAAAGGATCATTTTAAGTACAAACTTAGATTTAGGCTATAAGACAAACACAGCATAAAATAGCACACTTTTATCTAAAACACACATACCTACAAATAACATGTGGCCACTATCAGTATTTCTTATTTTTTTCTCCTTTTTAGTGACCCTAATGCTATTTCATTTACTGTGGTAAAAAATCTTATACATTAGGGCACTGACTATATCAATACTATATAATCATCATCTTCAGATTAAAATCAAAACAACAGACACAGAATACACCAAATTTAAATAGGTTGTTTTCCATCAACTAAAACTCCTTCTGTAGCCTATAACCTATATTTTTCTTTAAACAAAACTGTGACAACACTGATATTGACAAATTAAATGAAATTGATGTGAAATGAAATTATAGTAAAAATTTAAGTGATAAAACTGAGTCGTCAAAACAATTTCTGAAATTTCCACATTTCCACGTTTTAGATTTCTTTATAGTTTAATTAATTGATTAATTCATTTATTTATTTGATGAAAGCCATATTTAATGCATATGTATTAATGTTTAATATGATGGATTTAGGCTAAATAGTGAACCACTATTTTGTGATAATTTTCACCTTGGATTTAGAAATACAGATGGAGTGATAAAAATTGTTTAGAAATAACAACAATTAGGCCTGTTACTTTAGAACAGGGATTTTTTATTCAGTTCTTTTTTTTTTCAAATGTTACAATAGCTATTGGTCAGTGGTGACTGTTCAAAAATGGAGGAAAGTACTTTTTAAAGGATAGTTCATCCAAAACTGAAAATTATTATTATAATTATAATAATCATATACTCTCTCTTCACTTAATCCAAACCTGTTTGAAAAAGAAGATTTTTGAAGAAAGCTGAAAACATGAAACCATTGACTTCCATGGTAGATCTATTTGTTTATGAAAGTCAATGGTTACAGGTTTTCAGCTTGCTTAAAAATATCTTCTTTTTAGTTCAACGGATGAAAGAAATTCAAACAGGTTTGGAACAAGTGAAGGGTGAGTAAAACAATGACAGAATTTACCATTTTGGAAAATTCCAACTCTTTAATATCTATAATCATTAATAATAATAATAATAATTTAATTAATTAATTTTCTTGTTGGCTTAGTCCCTTTATTAATTCGGGGTCGCCACAGTGGAATGAACCGCCAACTTATCCAACACATTTTTTATGCTGCAGATGCCCTTCCATCCGCAACCCATCTCTGGGAAACATCTACACACACACATACACTACAGACAATTTAGCCTACCCAATTCACCTTGGCCACTGCTTCGCCATAATAATAATTTATTATTGTTATTTCTTAAAAATAGGTGATGCGGTTGCACAGCAAGAAGGTCGCTGGTTTGAGCCTCGGCTTGGTCAGTTGGCATTTCTGTGTGGAGTTTGCATGTTCTCCCCATGTTTGGGTGGGTTTCCTCTGGAAACTTGTGCTATAATGGGTAAACTAAAATTGTCCATGGGTGACGCAGTGGTGCAGTAGGTAGTGCTGTCGCCTCACAGCAAGAAGGTCGCTGGGTCGCTGGTTCAAACCTCGGCTCAGTTGGCATTTCTGTGTGGAGTTTGTATGTTTTCCCAGTCCCTGCATTCATGTGGGTTCCCTCCGGGTGCTCCGGTTTCCCCCACAGTCTAAAGATACGTGGTACAGGTGAATTGGGTAGGCTAAATTGTCCATAGTGTATGAGTGTGTGTGTGATGTTTCCCAGAGATGAGTTGCAGCTGGAAGGGCATCTGCTGCGTAGAAATGTGCTGGATAAGTTGGCAGTTCATTCCGCTGTGGCCACCCCGGATTAATAAAGGGACTAAGCCGACAAGAAAATAATTGAATGAATGAATGAATAAAATTGTCCATAGTGTATGTGTGTGAATGAGAGTGTATGGGTGTTTCCCAGTGATGGGTTGCAGCTGGAAGGGCATCCACTGTGTCAAACATACATGTATGCTGGATAAGTTGGTGGTTCATTCTACAGTGGCGACCCCAGATTAATAAATGGACTAAGCCGAAAAGAAAATGAACAAATAAATATTTCTTCTAAATCTGTTTATTTTTCAAATTTTCTTCTATTTAAAGTAACTCACATTTGATTTTTAGAAATTGAAAATTTTGGTAATAGCTTGTATATGAATATACCAAATACCAATAGCATACATTAAGATTAAAATAATACAAAACTGTAAAAAAAAAAATAAAAAAAAAAAAAAAAAAAGAGACTGAGACGTGAATCATGGTGTGGCCACTAGAGGGGGACGGAGAATCAGATATGAATTTGTTCTGGTCACAAATTACGTGAGAAATACCAGATTTAGCAGCAACGTTTGTGCACGTGCTTTTGCAGGATTTATTATCACAGCAGATGCTGCAAATGAATTGGTTAATGAACGTAGTAATATGGCGCCTTTCAATCTGTTGTCTAAAACAAGATGCTTACCAAATGGACCCATGAGACTCGATCAAGTGTGAGTAATTCCAAGGATAATTAGGAAATTTGAGTAATTCACTTTAACTTTTATTAGTGAAAATTGTGTTAAAGCTCAAATCTTTGAGACGTCAGTGTCACGAAGACTCAAATCCACATGACAGGTTGTCACGCTGACTTAATTTTAGCGGCTGTTTTGAACCCTAAGGGCTTAATTTAATGCTATAATTCTTGAAAAAAGACTTTTAACGGACCATGAGCAGTGTTTTTTACTGGAAAAGGCAGATTTGATCTGCAGGTGTACAAGCCGGTTCAAGGTAAAGTTGATTTTATATTCATACATTCAGAATGTGTCCTTAGTAATATCAGTTTAGAAACATATTCTTTGCAAACACCAAATAATGAAATCATATTAGCGCCAAATGACTATCAAAATATAACATTGATGACAGTCAAATATGTAATGTTGTTTTTATGTCATAATTACATGTGATTCCAGACCAAATATTCAAAGTACCAAAGTAAACATATATATATATATATATATATATATATATATATACCCAGCCGGCATTTCAACGGTGATTCAACGTTGAATCAACGTCAGGTCTATGGTTGGATCAACGTTGAATTACCTTTCGATTTTGCAAATTGGATCAACGTTTATATAGTGACGTTGTTTCACCGTTGGACAACCACCGGTGATTCACCGTTGAAATCACAACGTTGTTTCACTCTTACCTTTTTCATGGGTGAATTATGGTCGTTTTGTAGACGTTGAATGAAGGTTGAATTACCTTTCGATTTTGCAAATTGGATCAACGTTGATACCGTGACGTTGTTTCACCGTCATACATTTCAACATAAGTTAAATAGAAATTACATACAACGCAAAGTCCATAAATATAGCAAACAAAATTTTACTAATAAAAAATACACGACACAAATACACAACTTAGTCTGTGTATCAATTTATTTAATACACACCTAATTATTTCATTTATTCTAAATATACAGCAACATTTACAGCATACATAGTTCATTAAAACCATGCAGGTTACTATACATGCTCAAATACAGAAAAAGGCATACAATTAAATAGTCACTTTTTAATTAGGTTTCATGAATTAAAGTTAATGTTTATAACATGAACAAAGAACAAATACTTGTACAGCATTTATTAATCATTTAATTAATTGAAATATGTCCCGATGCTATTAAAATCAAAATGTATGCTTGTTAACATTAATGCACTGAGCTGACATGAACTGTACTTTCTTTATATGAAAGATGCTTCATTGTTCTTTGTTCATGTTAGTAAATACATTAACACTTACTAATACAACCTTATTGTAAAGTGTTACCGTCTAACCTAACTAAATTAAACTAAGTAACTAAACTACGCTTCAACCACCACTGTCTCCAAAATACAATTCTGTTTACAAAGTTTACAAAATACCCATTTTTAAAGTGGCTGCAGTAAAAAATAAAATAAAAAACATCACTCACAACTAAGAATCACAAGTGAAATACATTACATCTGTTTGAGGTTTTATAGGTTGAGAGAAACACTTGAGGTAAAAGATGGCACTGGGGACAAAGAATCAAGTGTAAAACACTAAAACATCTATATCAGTCTAGCACTTAAATACATATTTATTTCTCAAACACCAGGTGAGTTTCCTACAAAATCAATAATGAGGTTTGCTATTCCAATTCATTGTAAATGAATGGCTTCACTTTCACAATAGTGAAAACTCATGCTATAATTTAAACCTGACATTACTCCTTCACTTTGCAGGTCTGCATGCTAAATATTTAGTAGTTTTTTTTTTTTTGTATAAAGTACATCTATTGTGTTTAGCATTACTGCAGCAAAACTGAGCACCTGTGACAGTGGAACATGTAGACAAATATTTCAGTAAATCAAACACAACAGTAAAAGCAATTTGTTATTCCATTATTATTATTAGTATCATAAAAATTGCATGTTCACATGGGTCTTATAATAATGGCTCACATTTGTGAATGTAGGACCACTATTTCACTATTACATGTCACATTAAGTGTTCATATAGGTTCTGTTATTAATTACTTGTGTCATCCCAGAGACTTGTTAATCTTCAGAACACAAACTAAAATATTTTAGATTAAATGCCTCATCCTCTACAGACAGCAATGGTCCCAAGATGGTCATTGTCATAATAAGGCACAAAACACATTGTCAAAACGTTCCATGTGACTTCAGTAATTTCAACTGTGAACATACCAAGCTCCAACAACACTTTAGTGAGGCAAAACAAAACAGTAAATACTAATGTGTTTGCATATATCTCTCCCGCATCAGATCAGCGTGTGTGTTTATTACGAGCAGTAAGTACACACCATGACCTGTTGTGGCAAAGGCAAACAAGTTATTTTTACAGTACTTACTGTGATTTAACCTTTATGACAAATGTACTGGACCTGTTACTACACCTGATATATCACTATCTTTTATGAACACAAATTTCACTGTAACGGGTGCTGTTGTTTTGCTCCAGTTACACCTTTAGAGAACACCGTACTAGTCAGACATCCATACAAAAGCAGAGAGTTTGGTCTTGTGTAGCAGAACTGCAATAGATGTCTGTCTGTCTAGGCTGACACTGGTTTAGGCCATCAGTATGTCCTTGATGCCCTCAAATGGAGCTTCCAGAAAACCTGCAATAAATGAAATACGAGGTTACAACTAAGTTGGTATCAGCTATTATACAAAGTGAAATTCAAATATTTATTTTTTATTGAATCCAAATTTGTCCTATAATATCGCCACACTCAATAATTTTGACTCATCCATCCGAATATTCCTAACTAAGAGAAGTGAAGAATTAGGTGTGATGTCGTCAGGAAGCCCTTCGCCACCACCGGTGCCAGCATTTCCAGAATTCTAATTTCAGATTCTCGAAAAAATTGCTTTTTTTTTTTTTTTTTTTTTAACCAAGGCTGCAGTAAAGAATCATGAAACATTCAACACATCTAATAATTACAAGTTGTCGTAAACCATTACATGTACTGTAAAAGCTGTTTAAAGCTTTTTAGACATGGTTGAGAAAAACTCTAGAAAGAGTAGCACTTCTGTAAAAGTCTGCATGTAGGACAGAGAATAAAAGGGATAGTTAAAAATTTGTATTCTGTTGTCATTTACTGACCACATTGAACACAAAAGAAGATATTTTGAAGAAAGCTGCAAATCTATTTAACCATTGACTTCTATAGTATTTTTTTCTACTATGGAGGTCAATGTTTACAGGTTTTTAGTTTTTTTTCAGAATAGCCTCTTTTGTGTTCAACAAAATAAACTCATAATGGTTTAAAACCATTTGGGGAGTAAAATGTGAGTACATTTTCATTCTTGGGTGAACTATCCCTTTCAGTTGGAAAACACCAGAATTCTTAAGTAGACCCTTTTCGCAAGACAGATGATGCATTTAATTTCTTCTTAATCCTCAAGTTTTTAATATTTAGATTTATTTGAATAGCATGTTTATTTATTTGTTTTAATGACATTTAATAAATACAACTTCTCAATGACATCACATGTACTGGACCTGCTACACATGTATCACTATTTTTTTGAATACAAATTTCACTGTAACAGGTGCTGTTGTTTTGCTCCAGTAATACCTTTAGAGAACACAGTAGCAGTCAAGACATCTATACAAAAGCCTTGGTGTGGAGTAGCAGAACGGCAGTCTGTCCAGGCTGACACAGGTTTAGGCCATCTGCGTGTTCTTGATGCCCTCAACTGGACCTTCCAGAAAACTCAGAAAGTTAAAACCCATTACACCTTTTATCTGGTACTATACAAAGTGTAATTTAAGCATTAATTTCTCACTAAATACAGATTTGTTCCCCAATACTGTCACATAGTATAACATCACAACATGATTTCACAATAATAATATCAATATAACAATATAATATCACAACATAGCCTAACAATCAATAAACAAACAGATTAGAAAGAGAATATCACCAACCAAAGCACCAAGAAGATTTAACAGATAGTTAAAGGTAAAGTAAACTTACATGGACAAAGCCTTTTCCATTCAATGCTGTGCAAGTTAGTGCGTCTCTGGAGTAAGTTACATGTCTAAAAGCAAAAACAACAACAACAGTGAAACGACAGCAGTTAACTTTGTAATAATAACACTAATAATGCAGCGTATAAAATGGATATTGTTTTATAACGTTGCTCAGTAACTTTAAAATAATAATAACAATCATAATTTAAATAATTAAATTATAACCTATCCCAATCCTGACATAGCTGCGTTTAAACAGCGCAAACATTACTCCTTATAGTTATGCCATATTAGACGGTTCTGTGTGAATAACTGAAGACGCCCCTTTAATGCATTCGCATGTTAAATTATTTTAAATCAGACGCCCCATCCATAACCAACCTTAAATCATACCTGAACTCTCTGTTTAACATTTCCAAGTAAACTGTTTTGTGACATTCTCATAAAATCTCTCTGGTTTTGAATATCTTTGTTCGTAATTGTTCTTAGCCCTGTCAATGTTTATCTATTTTGTATTATTATTATTATATTTCCTCTCCTGTTTCACTTACGTTTATATTCTTTAGCTGTCAATATAATACTTCGCGTCTATGGAAGAAAGAGTCAATAAAGATAGACAATGTGTAACATCATATTCATCAAAAGACGGTTTATGTGCAAGTAACCGCACCGGTCCGAGCAGGTAACGAGCCAGCATGGGAGACAAGCTCCGATAAGATTGCAGAACAACGTCTGTCCCTGGATCCGAGGGGTGAGCTTTACGCGATCACCAGCTGGCTTCCGTTACATAAGGGCAAATATAAACGACTAAACCCTCATTTACTCATTTTACTCATACTTTTTATTATTTATAATGTCCAAGGCATTGATATTAAAATTGAATGCTACTTTTGTGCCTTTATTAGCCTTTTTCTCGCCTGTTTACTGGGTTAAAAATCTTACATTATTCCATCTCCACCTGCTGGTGAAAGCTAGAGCAGCTGGCGATCTTCAATCGGCAATCTATTGCTTCTCCTGCAGTTCCCGGATGTAATGTTGAATTTTAACAGTCGAATTTGATCCACTGAATTTATGGAAGCGAATATTTGAACTGAAATAAAATGAACTGAAAATGACCTTTTGAATATTATACATCGTATTTTTAAAGGGTATTGAATATTTTGTAAGTGAAATCTGAAAATTGAATATGAATTATTGAATTTTTAAGTATGAAAACGTGTTTGAAATATTTTTCGTTGAAATATTCACAGCTTAAATAAACAGATATGTTAAATTTCAGGACCTAAAAATACAAACCCTGGAATTCAAGTCATTAAAACGCAAGAACTTGTTAATACGGTGTATTATTTTTTTCAGTTTGTGATATTCAACAAGCTTTTTAATTCAAGACTTTAGGCATTGATTTTGTTCCATACGTTTGGAGTTTATCGCTTTGAATTTGCCATAAAAACGCTCATTTAGACTAACGTTAAACATGTGACATTACCTCGAGGTTAGCTGCGCGTCACCGGAGTGCAAACAAGACTAAAAACAAGCTGGAAAGTTTTAAATGCTTCAAAATTCGAAACACTACACCTCAAAAGTCACGTTTAAGATACACTGACAAAATCGGGGGGTAAATAAAACGTTAAAGCATCTAAAAACACGCTTACCTCTGAATTCTGCTGCACTGCAGGTCAGGTGTTCGTAATTACGTGAAGTAAAGCGCTGCGCGTGGCCGCGTGCGCGGAGTCCTCCAATACCATGGTAACCAAACATGTTGAATGTTGGGTGAAGCCATGACGTTAATTCAACATACAGATCATGATAAAAAAATGTCAACGTTGATTTGTACAAGGATTTCTGTAACTTTTTTCAACCATTTATCATTCAACATTGTTTCAACATTAAAGCAACAACTGACATATTTTCAACCACATTTCAACGTTGAAGCCTTGTCATATGCAGGCTGTTTTTCAACCATTCAACATTAAACGTTCTATCAACATTATTTCAACGTTCAAAACACAACTGACCTTATTTCAACCATATTTCAACGTTGAAGGTCGGTCGTGTGCCGGCTGGGTATATATATATATACATATATACACACACACAGAAAAACATCAAGAATTTTGTAGGGCAGTTGAAAATTTAGCTTTACCATCACAGAAATAATTTACTATTAAAAATATTACTTTTTATATACTTTTTAAAATTAAAGTTAGGTGGTTATAGGTAATAATTACTTAAAATCAAATAAATGCACCACTGGTGAGCCGAAGAGATCTTAATAAAAATTGAATTTTTATATGTCAGAATCTGGATATCTGCATACATATTTAAATGTCCAAGAAAAATCGAGATTATAACAATAGCTGATGATAGACATACTGTAAATGCTTTGTTTCAGCCACCATAGTTTGACACAGTGCGGCGCTGTATGCATGTCCATGTACACTATGCATTGCCAAGTGGAGTATTGGTCATAAACCAACACTAATGTAATGGGTGATGCTCTGTTGTCCTGCTGGAAGCCTGACACACTGTTATATTTAGACCATACAACCCCTTTTCACCCACAAAAATGGCTGCTTGAGTAATGGAGTGTTGGAAAACCACTCAAACCATCGTTGTCCATCTACAGGAAAGAAATGTTTTGACCTCAGAGTAAGGGAGAAAGATAAAGAACGAGAGAATGGAGGAAGGATATATTTTGGGGGTAGCCAAACCGCAGACACGGCTTCCAGACCTTTACCATTAAACATCGAGCTTGACGGTGTCACGTAAAGACTTAGACAGATTACTTTGTGTGCTGCCATTGAGCTCCAAATTCTCTCATCTCTCATTTTGGCCCATCGTGATGACAGCAATCAAGAGTGATGAGGTTTTTGAAAAAATGTGTACAGCAAAAATACATCTGGCTCCATTTGCCGAAACAAACCTCAGTGATGTTTTCCCTGACAGAAATATCAAATACATCGACTGTGCTTTTGAACTGGATTAAGGACGACCAGTGTTCCCAATGTTAAACCCCCCCAGGAATAGATTGTGACCAAAGTCATCTTTCTTTATGCTGCTGATAGTTTTATGTTGTGAGATTCTGCTTCGTTTGAATGTACAACCATTTGTGTCTTCTAGTGTTGTCAGCACAAAGATGTTTGTGGCCAAACCAACGTGCAAACCCCTTGTCAAGTGGACACCAGCTCTAAAGCGAGCACTGACAGAGAGCACTGGAGAGTTTCTCTGGGATTATGAATAAACCCTTGGAATGCACTGGCTGGTTTTACACGGCTCCTCCACTGCCTAGTGCCACGTTTCACAGTGGCAACAGTGAAAGGTCATCCCTTTTTTTTTTTCTTTCACAATTCTTTTTCCTCCTCTTCTCGCTACATTTTTTTTCGCTGGTTTGAACACGCCAACCTCTAAATTATGACGTTGGGTATTTTGTAGTCAGCGGTCCAGATCTGATGTTTACATACAGTTGAAGTCCAAATTATTAGCCCCCCTGTGAATTTTTAACAAGGTAAATTTTCACTGTATTTCTTATAATATTTTTTCTTCTGTAGAATGTCATACTTGTTTTATTTCAACTAGAATAAAATTTTATTAAAATAAAACATTTTAAGGTCAATATTAATAGCCCCTTTAAGCAATATATTTTTTAAATGTCTACAGAACAAACCATCATTAGACAATAACTTGCCAAATTAACCTAGTTAAGCCTTTAAATTGCACTTTAAGTTGAATACTAGTATCTTACTAGAAAATATCTAGTAAAATATTATGTACTGTCATCATGGCAAAGATAAAAGAAATCAGCTGTTAGAAATTAGTTTTTACAACTATTATGTTTACAAACGTGTTGAAAATTTTCTTCCTAAAAGAGAGATTGGAGATTGGGTAAAAATTAAATTCAAATCATCTTTATTTCTAGAAATATTTCACAGGATCAATGCGAATCAGTCTCATGCTCTCCACTCCTTCATGACCACCACAGCATCTGTTCAGGATACGGCCTGGTCCAGGATTATGGAGACCTCTAGAAATAATAATTCAGGAGGGCTAATACTTCTGACTTCAAGTGTAAATTGTTTGAGTTGCAATTTCAAAACTTCTAGACAAGAATGAGTCCTATAAAACCAATAATGATGAGAGTTTTTGAGACTTTCTTTTAAGGGATATTTGAATCCAAAATGCGAATTCTGTCATTTACACACCATTGTGTTGTTCCAAAATCATAAAAAAAATTTCTTATCTTTGAAACATGAATAGTAATATGTTCAGTCAAATCTGAGTGATTTCTGTACCAATGACAAAACTCTTTTCACTCTAATTTCTTTATATGATTAATAGATTTCAAACTTTTATGTGTAATAATATTGATCCGTAAGCATAAAGCTGCTCAAGTACTCACTAAAAAATTGCAATTCTGATTTGGATGTCCAAATCTTAAGGGTGTTCATCCCAAAAAGAAAGCTGTATTATTAATTGCTCACCCTCATGTCATTTCAAACCACTGAGACCTTTGTTCGTCTTTACCTTGAAATCTGAGTGCTCCCTTATTTTCGCTCTTGAGAAAATGCGCCATATACTGACACTAAAGAGAGGGAACTATTGAATAAAGTCAGTATGTTTGCTTTATGTCCACAGAAGTATTCTCATATAGCTTGATAATAATCTGATGAATTACCCTTAGGCTGAGTGCAGCCTCTACAAAACATGCTTAATGTTCTTTAAAGGGAAACAATGGTGCGTTGCAGGAGTTGCCACTATGGCAGCTGAGAAGGGCATTCTTTTATTTTTAAAAAGTTTTTAAGGGTTTTCATCTTTATTGATAGGACAGTGGAGATTAGAAACAGGAAAGTGTGGAGAGCAGAGATAGGGTAAGGATCAGCAAAGGACCTCGAGCCAGGAATTGAACTCTGGTTGCCGCAAACACATCAGTGCCATGTGTTGACACGCTAACCTCTAGGCTATTGGCGCCAACAGAAGGCCATTCTTTGTGTTCTTTTTGTAAAGTTTTCTGAGCTTAATGAAATTCAGTATGAATACGAATTTTATACTCAAATAATGTTACAGTCATCCCTGGTCATCCAGAATATAAGGCCACATTTACACTGCTGATTTTTTAATGGTTAATTTTGATTTTGTCACTGTCCAATTTTTTTGATGACCAGCTTAATTATCTCTCTCTCTTTCATTAATGTTTAAATACTTGTGCTACATGACAATATAAAAGCTGTTTTAGTCCTCATGTATGAGATTTAATGTTTGGGACTCTTCTGAAATCTGTTCTGAAATGAAAGCATCAGACTTGACATCAACAACAGTTTTTAGTGATGTGTGACTCTCATTGACGGGTGTAAATCCGATCTATCTGCTTACACTGCAGACACAAGAACACAGATCCGATTCATATTGGATAAATTTCCACATATGAACAAGGCCTGAATCTGATTTGAGTAATTCGGAATCCATGTGATTTTTTTTTTTCCTGCTTACATGTACATGGGCCAGATCCGATCTGTGCTATAGTACATAGGACAAGAAAATCTGAGTTGAGTTACTTTGAACCATGCAGTGTAAATGCAGCCTAATAGAGAAGACTTTAATACTCATTAATACTGCATGGTTTACACTATATACATGTTGCTATACTGATTGAGCTGCCATTTTTGACACACCCACCAAACAAGAGAAAACATATCTTAAACCTTGTTGCACAATTGTTGCACACTCTTTCCAAAAAACATTTTGTTCAACTAATAAACTGTAGCAAAACACAGCACCGGTTTGAGCTTGAACATGCCCATGTTCAGCTGCTTGTTAAAGGCAAATATCTGTTCATCCAGACACATAACAGCAACTTTATACGTCAGAATGGGGAAGATTAAGCGACCTTTTACATAGCAGGTCATTGGTGCTAGATGGGCTGCTCTGATAATTTCAGAAACTGCTTATCTGCTGGATTTTCACGCACAACCATCTCTATGGGTATACTAAAAGAGATCAGAATAAGAGGAAATTTAGTGACAGGTCTGTGGGTGAAAATGCCTTGTTAATGCTAGAGGTAGGTCAGATGAGAATGACCAGACTGGTTCAAGCTGACAAAAAGGAAACAATAACTCAGTACAACAGAGATCTGCAGAATAGCATTTCTGAACAAACCTTGAAGCAGATGAGCTCACTGGGGACAGCAAACTGAGACCAGAACGCTCATGGGCTCACCTAAATTTGTCAACTAAGAGGCGGGGTTGTAAAGGGCCCTGCCCAAAAATTGTTTGCACCCAAAACACAGAGTAGACTTTATGTCTGACAGTAGATATTTGGTTGTGGGAGCAATTCAGGTGCTTTTAATATCCTATGAGTAGCAATGCTTGGCATTAAACACATTCTATTGACAGCAAAGTTATTATAGTTTACAAAAAAAAAAAAAAAAAAACTAGAACTGAAAAATAAACATGTTTCGTTAACTGAAATAAAAATAAAATGAGAGTTAAAAAAAAAAAACTAGAACTAACTGAAACAGTATTGTGTACTTACAAAACCAGCTGAATATAACAAAAATTATAGTGAAAACGTCCTTCGTCTTTATCTTTTTAAATGTATTTCATACATAATCCTACTGTATGCACATGACATAGTCACAACTGTCGGAATACGCCCTCTTGTGGCAGTCACACCGAATTTTCAGTTTTGTTCTGCACTATGGGGGAGAAGCTGATTCTCACGGTGTCTGAAATAAAAAAAAAAAGTCAAAAGCAAGAGCAATTTTTCTCCGTGCGTTCACCATGGTTGAAAGAATGAATACTAGAAACTCGTCTAAAAATTTTGG